CATAAGATGACTGTATTATAATACATTTGGCAAACTGCATCCTTATTTTGACTCCATGTAATATAGCAAGTAAAACTATCAGTTAAGAGTTTTAAAAACTTTCTCAAAGGAAAATAAGAACAACTATTAGTAATGCAAACACCTCCCTCATACTTTGAAGACAACTGCCTCCAGGGTTAGTCTAAGGGGCAGTTACGTCCAATAGCGATGGATAATGAACTATACGGTAGCTATGCTCACCTCCAAGTCCTCGTTCTCCAAATAGTTCACCACTTCTATTTCACTTAGCTGAGTAAATCTCATTTTCCTTTGACATAGAAGCATTTGTAAAAATTACCACAACTAGGCACCCACAGTGCCCAATGGGCATGATGGCAGTTCTTTTATCTAATATGAATGGTAAGTATTTAGAGCAGGTGTTCCCTTCGCTGGGTTCAAAATGCAAAAGGTATAGAAAGATAGAAAAGATAAAAGTTTCCATCTTATCCATGTCTTCAAGGACCTCAGTTCCCCTCCCCAGAAGCACCCAATGTTAGCAGATTCATTTCACAATGCGTATAAACATTCACACAGTGAGCACACATTCCATCTCTTACCATAGTTCATCTGGATAACAGCACTGTACATGTTCGTCTATATCCTGTTGTGGGTTTTTTTGTTTGTTTTTTTCATTTAACAATATATCTTGGATTTTTTTCCCTATTAGTAAAGAGATTCATTCTTTTTCCATTCATTCTTTTTCTACATCTCACTGTAAAGATGCACATTATTTTTTAAACTAATATCTTATTGAGAACATTGTAGTTCCCATTTTTTCTATTAAAAATAATCCTGAAATGAATATCATTTTATGTATGACATTTTGCATCTGTGTCTAGATGTAAGATAACTGTAATTTTCCAGAAGTGAAATGAATGGTTCAAAGTATATATGTAATTATAATCTTGATATTGCCAAATTGCTCCCCATACAGCTAGCGATGATATTGTACTCCTTCCAAGAATGTATGAGCACCTGCTTCCCCAAACACAGTGTGTTGTCAATCCAAAGTGTTAAAAACAATTCTGGGTAGTTTTAATTCACATTGCTCTACCTGTGAGTGAGGCTGGGTATACTTTCATTTGTCTGCATGCCATTTATATTTTCTGTAAATTTTCTTTCTTTTCTTGTGGTGCTGGGAATGAAGCCCAATGCCTTGTACATGCTAGGCAAGTGCTCTACCACTGAGCTGCATCCCCAGCCCACTGGTCTATTTTTTTTAATTGATTTGTAGTACTCTTTAATTTTTATTTATTTTTTATTTTTTTGGTACTGGAGATCGAACTCAGGGACACTTAACCACTGAGCCATATCCCCAAYCTTTTTTGTATTTTATTTAGAGATGGTCTCATTGAGTTGCTTAGTGCCTCCCTAAGTGGCTGAGGCTGGCTTTGAACTCTTGATCCTCCTGCCTCAGCCTCTCCAGCTGCTGGGTTTACAAGTGTGCGCCACCGTGCCTGGCTCTAATAACCTTTTAGCTATTAGAGAAGCCATTTTCATGAGGCTGGGGAAGTGGCTCAAGCGGTAGCGCGCTCGCCTGGCATGCGTGCGGCCCGGGTTCGATCCTCAGCACCACATACCAACAAAGATGTTGTGTCCGCCGAGAACTAAAAAATAAATATTAAAAATTCTCTGTCTCTCTCCTCTCTCACTCTCTCTTTAAAAAAAAAAAAGAGAAGCCATTTTCTGTAACATGAGTTGCACATATTTTTTTTTTTCCAGTTTGGCATGTTAATGTTGCTTATGGTAGTTTTTAGTTTTTATTAACAATAAGCCCCTGAATTTAAAATCTCAAACACACTTATATCAAGCTACTTAGCTTTCTGTAGCCACAGCATCAAAGAAGCTTTTAACAGTAGGACACTTTCTATTACCTCATCCTGGGGAATGACAACTTGAACAAGACCGTGGCAATCTCTTAGGACTAGGAAGATGTTTTGCCTGATTAATGAAAAATAAAATGAACATTTTAGGATAAAATCTCTAAGCCCAAAGTTTAATCAGAGTAAACAAGTTCAATAACAAAACAAAAACCCCAAGCAATTTATCATGTTCCTTTTTTATGAATAACTATGTACTTTCATTAGCTATATTTATGCAATTATTGTCTACATTGCTTATTAATGAAAACAAGTCATTTTTTAAAATTTCAATTTAATTGGTCACTTATATAGCCCACTACTCTTCTATAGATAGTTTATTAATGAAAAAGCAGATTTAAAATTAAAAGAACTTGTGCTGGGGTTGTGGCTCAGTGGTACAGAGCTTGCCTTGCATGCGTGGGGGCACTGGGTTTGATCTTCAGTACCACACAAATAAATAAAATAAAGGTACTGTGTCCACCTACAACTAAAAATTAAAAAAAAAAATTAAAAGAACTTTTCATTGGCTTAAGTCTGCATAAGATAATTTTATGAAACGTGGAAATTTTTTATAAGGTGCCATTCAGACATAATATGGTATTAGAAATCATTTTTGAAATATAGCAATGTTAAGGTTTTTTTCCTTCCTAAAAAGGTATATGATCTGAAATTTCCTAGAAGAGTTCCAACTACTAATTTAACAATTCTACAAATCACCAAAAAATTCCCCAAATTTCAACATTTTAACATTCAATCTACACTCCTCATCCTGACTTTAGTATCTGAAAGAGGTACAGATTTTGGGTTCAGGAAACAAAAATCACCAAATTTATGGGGTAAATATCCACCCACTTGGGACATACACTTTATAAAAAAAAATGTGACCTATGTATTTTGAATCTGTTCACATATGGTCTGGAATACAGAGCTAAACAACAAAAAATAGGCTCTGATCTTAAGAAACCACTGTTGGTGCTTTTAGGTTTTTTTCTCTACCTAATATTAGGATGAAATAAGCTCTTTCCCCATGCTATTGAAGCTTCCCAGCTGTTTCTAGGATGTGGGCCCATTTCTAGTTTACTGGTCATAGGAAGTCTTCCAATTTATTTAGCCCAGGGCTATTTTTAGTCCATTCCAGGACCAAGCTTCATTTTATTCTCTTCTGGTACTTACTAAGACTGACACCATTTGGATCTTTCAAAACAAAAATGAGAAATAAGAATTCAGTGAATTTTGAGAGTCCTGCAGGGGTTACAGAAAGCTTTTTATTCTCATGAATACTTAAAATTTAGTAAAGGTTTGAAATTGCTTTCGGGAAACAATTACCATACATTCAGGGGTTTTTTGGTGGTATTGGGAGATTTAACCCAGGGGTGCTCTACCACTGAGCTATACCTCAACCATTTTCTATTATGAGACAGGGTCTGCCACTGGTCCTTGGCCCACCATCCACTTATAACTCAATTTACCTTCGGTACTGAATCCATCCACACAAGGTGACTTCTTGGCCTAAGTGAGAAGAACGTAACTCTCCACATGTGTTGGTCCTGGCAACAAAGCTATTGAATTCTTGGAAAAAAACACAAATGTGTAAAAGGCAATATTAAAAATATATTACTTGCAGATTGCTTAAAAATATTCTCAATTCACAGATTCTTAAATATTTCAGGTAGAAATGTGTAAATTAGAGCATGTAGATTCATCCAGTATTAAATTTACCTACCAATGTGTCAAAAGCCAAGTGACTAACTGTTTGAATGCAAATTTTTGCTTTGGGTTAGGAAACTTAGCTTTTTCTGGATCTAGCAGTTGCACTGACCTAAAATCCTAATTGCCCAATTCTAAATATTACACTTTTTTCCCGAAATGAAATATGATATTAGGAATTAAAGATGTTTGATGGTGCAGTAACGATATAGCTGTAGTATGAAACTAGTGTGTAATAGCCACTTGTACACTGGAAAAATATCAAAAATGTGAAAGGTTCTTTTTGGCTTCCTACTTGTAGTATCAACCAAACAGAATAGACTACAATGCGGTTACCTTTCTAGGGTCGTTAAAAAACAAAAGCAACAACAAAAAACAATGAAAAAATGCATTATAAGGATTATAAAAAGGAAATGATCTGCTTCTCCATTTCTCCATACATACAGCTATCAGGGGGAAAATGGCTGCAAAGAACAGGCTCTTCTCTGTTTTCACCTGGAATTCTCCTCTGTGAACTCAGCGCCAGACTTCGGGAGAAAGAACCCCAGGTTGGCTGGGCTGTCCTTCCGATGGGTCTGGATAAACCCCTGCACAGCTGACTTAACCAGGAGAGGAAGTACATGCTGAGACCCCAGGACGGCGAGAGACGATCACAAATTCCACGCTGCAGGTGTTGGACGGTGCTCAAAACTCTGTTTTGGAAATGCACCGAAGTCCCTTAAAATTTTAGTTCCCACTCTTCTCCAATATTTAAGCCCTCCTCCGCTGAACATCCGGGTACGAGTGTCTAGCAACTACATAAATCTGCAAGGTTTGGAAGGCCCTTGGATGAGTGGATAGGGAAAAGCCCTCTCCCCGTCAGGGCATCACTTTCCACTTCTATCAATGCCGCTGCGCCGAGTGACCCTAGGACCAGTGTGAAGCGCGACGCGGAAAGGCCTGTCACCAGGCGCACGCTTCCTCCTCTTCTCCGCCAGAACGAAGGCTCCCACGCGCAGAACCGGAAAACAGGGAGGAAACAGCCTGCGTTCCAAATCTCCTAGACCTGGCAGCCGACCTAAGACTTTCCGTAGGAAAAGGAAGGCAACCAAATCAAGAGCACTCGTAGGCCAGAAACCACGCAAGACCCGGGGAGTCAATGGTCCTTGTACCCGCCCAGGATTAGAGGAAGGCATTCTACCAATCAGAAAGAAGCTTCCGCCGCCATGCCTACTGCGGGCGGAAATAGGAGGGGAACGCCTCGCACCCGAGGAAAACCCAGAAGCAGCGCCGCGCACCGGCCTTGACCTCAGTTAAAATGGCGACCTGGGTTACTTCACTGTCTTGAAATAGGAGGGGCGCCAGGGAGGCTTCCTGCGTGGGACCGCAGAGCGAGTCGGGAGATGATTTTAAACTGTGAAGGGCGCTGAGAGCCGAGCTGCCGCTTCTGGCCGTGGGCTCTCAGATCTGGCTTTACCCCAGGAGGGCTCGGGTGGAGAGCGAGTGGTCTCCTGTCTCTTGCCGACCCCCTCCGGCTAGGAGCGAGCGGCGGCCTCCTAGCTGGGCGCTTTGGCGTCCGGGGGAGCTCGCTCGCGGAGCGCCGGCGGCACTCGGGCCTCTCCCTCAGCTGTCATTTTGGCGGCTTTTTCACTTCAGGAGGTTTCAGCCTCGACCAAGTTCCGGAGCCGGATTGAAGAATGACTCGTGCCCGCGGAATGGGTGACAGCGTCAGCACTGCACTTTATTGGTGAGCTGCTTTGTGTTGGTCCAGGCTGTGGCCTGTGTCTTGAAGCACTGACGTGCTTCGCTCTACGTGGTCSACACTCCGCCGCGCCCGGGCTTCGGAGCTGTTGGCCTTAGGCACTGGTGGGGTGTACCCAAGTGATTAAGCCCCTTTCTGCACGGACTACCTACAGGACAGACAACTCGGGGTGTCCTGGTTTGCCACCATGAATTTTAAATGGTACTTGCAAATTATCATTTAAATGTAGTAATCCTGCGTCCGGGCCCTGGTGCGCACACCTGTAATCCCAGCTTTTCCGGAGGCTGAGGCCGGCCAGCCTCGGCAATTGAGCGAGACCAAAAAACAAACAACAACAACAGGGGTGTAGCTCGGTGGTAGAGATCCCTGGGTTCAATCCCTAGTACCGCAAAAATAATTAAAACTGTAAGTATAACCTCATTTGTGAAAAGCTCTTTTGAAAGACTAACAGCACAGTAGTTGGGGGTAATTATAACTTCATTCCTTTCAGTGGAAATGGTATGTTCATGTTGGAGCTCTATGGAATACTTACGTTCGATTAAACCAATACTTGGTTAACAATTAAAGTGCACTTCAGCTTTGTATTAGGGCAGTCATGCAAGAGAATTATAAAGCACTATTTCAGTCAAAGCAGCTTAGACTTGCTGGGAAGACAAGAAATTCACACCAAGAAAATAAATGAACAGGGGCCAAAATGAGTGGTTCAGACTTGGTGAGGAGAGCTGTGTGGCTGCTGTATCTCCAAAGATTTTACAGAACATTCTTGAAGAATTTTGCTGGACTCCTTTGGAAATGAGATATCTCTCTCTCTCTCTCTCTCTCTCTCTCTCTCTCTCTCTCTCTCTCTCACACACACACACACACACACACACACACACACACACACCCCCCCCCCCCCCCCCCTCCACCCACCCACACCTTCCAGGAATGAGCCACAATACAGATAGAATCATATAATGTAGGCATTTCAGGGGAAAAAGATTTGGAAAAACCCTCTTGTTTGAATTTTCGAACAGGAATTTTTGCAAAAAAAAAAAATTTCAAACAGAATTTGAAAGGAGGTCACATTCAAACATGGTCTTAAAGGAGGTGGAATAGGAAATGTCAGTTCAGACAGGTGATATAGTTGATAGGCAGAAACATGAAGATATGAATATATTTATGTCCTAGGTTGGAGAGGAGAAAAAGGAGAAGCTGAATTTCGACAGACTTAAATATCTGGCAGAGGAGTTTAGGATTTATATTGTCATGAGGTTTTTGCTCTGATAACTAACAATAGAGTGCCATTTTTGGAAAAATGTTTCACTCTTAGGGACTCTTGGTTGTGGTTATAAAAATATAGCCCAGCCTATGGTTTGGGAATGCATGACAAAGGCTGTTGAAGGAAGAATTTGATAGAATGTGCTGAATGACTACTTGTGAAAGAGTGGAGGTGGGGGACTGTAAGCATTTAAGTTCTCCTAGAAAATTGATAGGAATTTGAAAGTGGGCCAGTTAGCTTTTGGAAGGAAGGAGTTGAATTTAATTTTGAACATACTGTTTGTGGTATCTATAAAGTATTAATAAATACGGCTATAGCCAATGAGAAGTGTAGCACTTCATGAAAAAGTTGAAGAAGGGGAAGGAAAGAAAGAATTATTTTATAGTGGGTAGAGGAATCTGTGGAACTATGAATATGAGTTAATCTTTTAGTGTTTGGAATTCTGTCTTATTATTATTATTATTATTATTWTTTTTTTATGTAGACCATGGATCCTTATGTTGCATCAGAATCAACACCTGAATTGACTCCTAGACAAAGTACATCCTCAGGTCTTAAAGATTACCTTATAGGTGCCACCCCTCTGCAAAAAAGATTGGAGTCAGTTAGGAAGCAGACTTCATTTGTCCCAACCCCGCCTCAAAGGAAAATTCCCCAGTGTTCACAATTGCAGGTATGCTTTGTGTTCTTTAAAAGAAAAAAAAAAAAAATATATATATATATATATGGTGTAGATGGACACAATATCTTTATTTATTTATTTTTATGTGGTCTGAGGATTGAACCAGTGCCTCACATGCAAGGCAGGCGATCTACCATTGAACTACTGCCCCAGCCCATGTGGATTAATAAATAATTGAGACTATTTGAGCAAAACATTTCAATTTTTGTTACTGTTTATAATATCTTCTTAACCCTTCACTAATAAAATAAATGAGAAACAGTTAAATAATTTTATAGTATTAGCACTATATTCTTTTATCTCCTTAATCTGGATCATTTCCACAGTATTTTTCTTTGTATTTTTTTATTTCTTTGTTGTATGATAACATTTTTTTTTTAAAGTACAATCTTTTCTCCCCTTTTTAAATAGAATACTGCTCATTTTGTATTTGATGTTTGCTTGTGATGAGAATGAAGTCATATTCTTTGTTGGAGCACTGCATAGGTGCTGTTGTGACCTTCATTGTAGCTGTTTTTATCAGTGTTGATGCCTAGTATCTCTTGGGATAGGAGTCAAGTTTTGCATTTTTGTAACAACTTTCTTAAAGAAAAATTACTGATGTTGGTAATGAAAGTGATAGCTTTTAGCCAGAAAACAGAAATTTTATATGAAGATTGGAAAGCCCTATTCTGTGCTTCTTTACCTTTACAATAATTTTGCCATGTATTTTGATAACTATAAAAAAAAGTATAAGTGTTTCAATAAATGTTCTATCCAGAAGAAATATTTTTTTCTTAAGTAAAGTTTTAAAAAATAGATGGAGCTGTGAGACAATACTAGAAAGCATGGACTTTTCTGGGGAAAACAGACAATAAAAATCAGACAGTATTTTATTGTCACTCAGTAATTAAGTGCTGTGAAGAAAAATAAAGCAGATATATAAAAATATATATCTATAATATATATCTATATCTTTATATAAAAAGATCTTTATATATCTTTTTATATAAAGATATAGAGTGACAAAGTTGGAGTGGGTACAGGTGGTACTTTAGTGGAGTAGCCTCTTGGGTGGCATATTCGGAAGAGATCAGAATGAAGTGAAGGAACAAGCCATTTGAACTCCTGGGAAAGAGCATTCTAGAAGGGAATGTTCAGCGAAGTTCGAAGATCTACAAAAAATCTTGCAAACCCCACTTTAGTTTGATCTTTGGGAATGCAAAGATTTGGGCCTCAGTTATAGATTCGTATAAATACTTAAATCCTTTGATTCTTTCTTCCTAATGTTTGTTAATTTTTAACCTTTTTTTTTCTTTTTTAGGAAGATATTGATTCTCAGAAGGTTGCTTTCCTCCTGCATAAACAATGGACTTTATATAGTGTAACTCCCTTATATAAATTCTCCTATAATAATCTTAAAGAATATTCTAAACTTCTGAATGCATTTATTGCTGCTGAAAAGCAAAAAGGACTCGCTGTGGAAGTGGGAGAAGACTTCAACATTAAAGTGATTTTCTCTACTCTCCTGGGAATGAAAGGAACACAAAGGGATCCCGAAGCATTTCTTGTCCAAGTATAGTATATAAACAATTCTTGTTTCCTAGGGCAAAATGATCTACATTTTGTTTTTATTTTGTTCTTTTTAAAAATTTTGCAGTGTATATATATATATATATATATATATGTGTGTGTATATATATATGTGTGTGTGTGTGTGTGTGTGTGTGTGTGTGTGTGTATATATATATATATATATATATATGTAATTCTCTGACTTTTATTAGGATTCAATTCCTAAAAGTAGAATTTTAGTAAAGTATATAACATTCCATATAGTGATATATCATGCCATGTTACTCTTAGAAATGTAATATTTTAGAAAGGTGGCATATAATGGCCTGTGCCTATAATCCCAGCAGCTCAGAAGGCTGAGACAAGAGGATCACAAGTTCAAAGACAGCCTCATCAACTTAGTGAGGTCCTAAGCAACTTAGTGAGACCCTGTCTCAAAATGAAAAGGGCTGGGATGTGGCTCAGTGGTTAAGTACCCATGGGTTTAATCCCCACCCCCCACCCCCCACCCCCAAGTAAGGCTATCTTTTGATGAATTTAAAAAAGACCACAGATTTATTTTGTTATTTGTAATAAAGTCTCTTCTGAATTTATTAATCTTAATCACTAATAAGAAAATGAAATCCTCAAGCAATTAACAAGACTGGATTTATTTATTTATGTAAATCAAAGGTCAGCAAAGCATGGTCTGACCTGCTCTTTGTTTTATAAATAAGGTTTTATTGGAATGTAGCTTCTTTCATATGCTATGTCTTATGTATGTGTGGCTACTTTGGGGCTGTGATAGCGGAGTTAAATAGTTGCAACAGAAACCACATGAACTGCAAAGCTTAAAATATTTATTATCTGTCCATTTACAGAAAAAGTTTGCTAACTCCTGGTATAGGTCATGGTATTGGCAAAGATCTCAAGGTGTTTGAGGGTTAGGTTCCATTGTTTATAGCATAAATCCTGAGTTAACAGTGGATTAAAAATGATAGGCTCATTGTCTTCCTGAAAAGAAAGGGTAAATGAACACACACTGTCCAAGGCTGGCATGACGCTCGATGATGAGGTCATTAACAACCCAGACTCCTTTCATCTTTCTTCTCTACCATCTGTAGTGGATGACTTCCATTCTAAAGGTCACCTTATGGTCCAGGGTGGCTCCTGGAGCTATAAACATTATATTTAAGTTTCAGGCAGGAGGTAGAAGGAAGATGAGAGGGACAAACAGGAAACCCAGAAATGTGAATCTTGCTGAGATTCAGCAACTTCTGCTTACATCCTAGTTGGAAATGAAGCTGGAAAATTTTTCTTTTTTAGTGGGCACTTTGCAACTTTAAGTAAAGGGACTATTTTATTGCAGAAGGAAAAATGGATACCAGGTAGTCAGCAGTTTTTGTCAAGTAAAATAGCTGATGTCAGAGACGTTTTGTGACTTGTATATCATAAAGATGTTCTCATGAGGATTAGAAATGATATAAATTCCTAGTACAGTGTTCTGATAGTTTTCAAAGTAAATTTCAGGTTTTTTTTAAATTTTATTAGTTGTAGATGGATACAATACCTTTATTTTATTTATTTATTTTTTTAATGTGGTACTGAGGATTGAACCCAGTGCTTCGTACATGTTAGGCAAGCACTCTACCACTGAGCTACAACTCCAGTCCTGTAAATTTCATTTCTTGACAAGGTTATAGGCCTCTTAAGTTATGAAAGTCTGATAAATATAGCATATCTGAGCTTCAAGATATGCAAAAGTATTTCATAATTTCTTAAATAAAAAGGAGGACTATGGTAAAAAGAAACTGCTCCAACGATCATCTCTAATGGCTGTGATCTTAACCTTGGCTTGGTCAATATTTAAACAAATCTTGAAGGTATTTATCATTTTACAAAGTTTGAGGGATTAGTCAGTAAGCTGGGAATATGATCAAGGTCCTCAACAATCTGAATGGATTGGTATAATGGGCTAAATTGAAAGAGCTTAAAATTTTAGTAGAAGTAAGTTTATACCTCAGTCTAAGCTGGGGGAGATTTACCTATTTATAGCAAAATTGAATATGTAGGGCTAATTTTATAAAACTGTCTACTAAAAATCAGAAAACTGTAATCTAAGATTACACCAATAGAAGTGTAATATAGATCAAAGATGATTATAGTCTTGTAATCAGATCTTTTTTGAAATAATCATGTTAACTTATGAATGACACATGCATAAGAATTTCAGAAAAGAGTGTCCAGAATAGTAAGATAATGTGAGTCTATTTAGGAAAAATGGTTGAAGAAACTGGTTATGAGCCAGGCTTGGTGACTCATGCCTATAATCCCAGCAACTTGGGAGGCTGAGGCAGAAGGATGTTTTGGACTAGCCTCAGCAACTTAGATCCTGCCTCAAAATAAAATTAAAAAGAGCTGGGGATGTTGCTCAGTGGTAAAGTGCCCCAGTTCCCCATTCCTGCACTACTCTCACAAAAGAAACTGTATATGTTGAACTTGGCAGTATATGTGGTAGAGATCATGAAATAGTTGAAGGGCTTTTTCTGTGGAGGAGAGATTAATTTTTATTTATTTTACATGCATATAAAGAAAACAGGTCCATTCAGTGGAAACTATGGGGCTTGATGTATGGAATTGCATTTTAAGTTGATGGAAGGAGTTGCCTTAGAAAATCTTGGTATCTTCCCCAGTGGGAGAATTCCACATGTTGAATTTGGTGACCTTACAGTCCCTTCTAAAGTTGAGATTTTTTTCTTCAAGATACTATACCTAATTATTCTATGTAGGTATCTCTTTTTTTTTGCATTTTCATTGCACCAAGATCTTGCTATATGACATAACCTCTATAAAATATTAGAAGAAGAGTCCATTATTTTTATAAATCCTAATAATGACTAGCAAAACTATTCCTTTTTTGTCTTTTGAACAATATGTCATTTTATTTCTAATGTGCTAATTAATTTTGGGAAGATGTAATTTAGGAGCAAATGTACTTTTGAACTTAATGAATTTGTTTTACTTTTACTTTCCCTTGTAGATTTTGTCAAAATCTCAAATGCCATCTGAGAACAGAGAAGGTAAAGTGTTATGGACTGGTTGGTTCTGCTGTGTATTTGGAGATAATCTCCTGGAGACTGTTTCACAAGATTTCACTTGTCTACCCTTATTCCTTGCAAACGGAGCAGAGTCTAATACAGCCATAATTGGGACTTGGTTTCAGAAGACTTTTGACTGTTATTTCAGTCCTTTAGCAATCAGTGCATTTAATCTTTCCTGGATGGCTGCTATGTGGACTGCATGTCAAATGGACTGCTATATGGCTACTACTGAATTTCTTTGGTCTGTTCCCTGTAGTCCTCAAAGTCTGGACATTTCTTATGCAATTCATCCAGAGGATGCAAAAGCTCTGTGGGACAGTGTCCACAAAACACCTGGGGAAGTTACCCAGGAGGAAGTTGACTTATTTATGGACTGCCTTTATTCACATTTCCATAGGCATTTCAAAATTCATTTATCAGCCACAAGATTGGTCCGTGTTTCAACATCTGTAGCTTCTGCACATACTGATGGAAAAGTAAAGGTTAGTTTGAACAAATCTGGTTAAGTAATTTTTTTCTTATTATTGCCAGTTTTCAACATTCATGGTGACTTGATCATCACATTGAAGAAAAACATTTGAATGTATGCCAACTGAAGACAATAGAGAGACTTTATTTTATGCTTTATAAATGATTTATCAAAGTCTTCAGCCTTGTTTGTGCAGCCCTATAATGGAAGAACATTATACGTGTATACTATAGACTTGGATAATTTAAATTATTATTCTGTAATAATATGAGTTATAATTCTTTCAAAATTGTTTCTTATCAAATTTTGAAATAATTATGAAAGTTATAGAAGATTTCATGTTAGAAAGAAATTTATAGCCAGAAACACAGAAAAAGGTATCATCTTTATATTTTAGGCTTTTCTATCCCCATTGGAAAGGACTAATAGACACATTGTTTTACTCTCTTGAAGTGCTTATTATGAGAAATATCAGAAATAGAGTTAGTCCAGGACTGGGGTTTGGCGCAGCGATAAAGCACTTGCCCAACACATTGGAGGCCCTGGGTTCGATCCTCAGCACCACATAAAAATACATAAATAAAGCTATCGTGTCCAACTACAACTAAAAGATAAATATTAAAAAAAAAGAAAAAAAAAGAAATAGTCCCTAAAGCATATTTGAAAATAGAGCTATGTTATGCTCTCAGTGAATATTTCCTATGGTCTTGTTATTGTGTTAGGAGATTTTTTTGTTTCTTTTTTAAATTGATGCACATTTATGGGAGTACAGTATGATAATTTATGACATATGTACAATGTTAATGATCTAATCACAGTAATTAGCATTTCCATTCTCTTCATTTATCCTTTCTATGTGTGGGAACCTTCAGACTCTTCTAGTATTTTAAAATATATATTAAGTAGTTGTAGACTATAATTACCTCATAGTGCTACAGAACACCAAAATCAGTTCCTCCTATCTGATTATATTTTGGTACTTATTATCTAATCTGTCCCCTCTTACCTCTACCCTTCCTAGCTTCTAGTGACCACTGTACTGTTTTTATATGAGGTGAACTTTTTTAGCTTCCACAAAATGGAAAGCTTATATTTGTCTAGCGGACCTTAATTGTGTGTATATGTATGTATATGTTTTATTGGGAATTGAACCCAAGGGTACTCTGCTCCATTCCCAGCCCTTTTATTTTTTATTTTTGAGATAGGGTCTTGCTAAGTTGCTCAGCGTGTGCCACTGTGCCTGGCTGGCCTTTAACATTTGCCTCAGCTTCCTGAGTAGTTGGGATTACAAGTGTTCACCACTGTGCCTCAGCTGGGTGTTTTTATCCACATTTTATTTTAAAACAAGAAAACAGATCAAGGTAAGTTTAAGTGATACATGGAAGATAGCTTAGTAAGGAGAGGAGTCAAGATTTGAACTCTCTTAGGTTCCAAGAGCACAGTTTTCTATAAATTATCTTTTTCAGAATGGAGGCTACAATGTAATGGAAGCTGGGAAATAATTTTGAGGAGAAGAGATCAGCATTAAAAAGGAAAGAAATAGAAGATATAAAAATGATAGTGTATTGAATGTGCCAAATTCAATGAACTAAATCCAGAAATTAGACCAGTGTAACACTGATCACTCAGATATCAAACTGCCCTGCTATAATATTATTCTAATTTTAAATTTCTTTCTTTCTTTCTTTTTTTTTTTTAACAGATTCTGTGTCATAAATACCTTATTGGTGTGTTGGCATATTTGACAGAACTGGCAATTTTTCAAATTGAATGAGTGAACAATAAGTTATGGATCATCTACTCTTTTCTCACTAATTATTTGGTTAGTTGCTATGCTGAAAGGGTCTGCAAGAGAGGTGGGTATGTATCTCTGCCTCTTCTTTCCTCACAGTAGCTTTGGAGTTGCCCAGATGAAAGCCAAGGAGGATTTAGAACAAGGACTTGGCACTGGGTGAACCACAGCCACGCGCTTGTACTGGTCATGATGATCTCAGATGCCAATGCCTAGGAGCAATGCTGTGTTGTTAATTTCTTGGTATCTTTTTAAAAAATGTTTTTCATATCAAACTTTTAGAATTCAAATGTGATATCTAATATTGGGTATTTTTTATTTAGATCTTTAAAACCTTTAATCCCTTTAAAGCATTTTAGACTTGCAGTCAAAGAATTTTCATCTTCTAAAGACATTTTGCTGGCATTGTTTTGCTGTAGAGAACTGGCCATCAAAATCCTCTCAAAAATTCTGGCTGGGTATGATGGCATATGCCTGTAATCCCAGCAGCTTGGGAGGCTGAGGCAGGTTCAAAGCCAGCTTTAGCAATTTAGTGAGGCCCTATCTCAAAATAAAAAATGAAAAGTGCTGGGGATGTGGCTCAGTGGTTAAACACCCCTGGGTTTAATCCCTGATACCAAAAACAAACAAACAAAAAAAACCCTCTCAAAAGGAAAATAAAGATTAATAGACTTTTTTAAAGCCACTAATATGCTTTTGATTTTAATATTGTTCAATTCTTATAACAGTGTTAAATTAAATATTTACTTTTAAAATGAAGTAGTGCGTTTTTCAGTGTCTTTGTTTTTTGTTGTGCGTTTATTTCCTTATGTTTTCAAAAACCGTTGGAAGAGCCAGCTGTGGTGGCACATGTCTGTGATCCCAGCAGGCAGAGGCAGCAGAGAGGCAGAGACAGGATCATAGTTTGAGGAAAACTTGGGCAATTTAGTGAGACCTTTTCTCAAAACAAAGAAATAAGGCCTGGGGATGTAACTCAATGGTAGAACATCCCTAAATTCAATCCCTAGTATTGTAGAACAAGYAACAATGAAAAGGTAAACCAAAATAACTAATAAATGTGTTTACAGATGAAAGGAAAGAACTGAGTAGAGAAGACACTAACAGAAGTTAAGACTTCCCTGAATGTTCTTTGGTTATAGTTTATAATCATATGAGTGTTTTATATAATTATGAAATAAGGGCTGGGGATGTTGCTCAGAAGTAGAGTGCTTGCCTAGCATACTTGAGGCCCTGAGTTCAATCCCCAATACTGCAAATATTAAGTCAATAAATTATGAAACAATATTATATCAAAACGGAAAATACAAGATAATACTCCCCTTCCCGCTGTGGTACTGGGGATTTATCCCAGGGGATGCTTTACCATTATGCTACAACAACAACCTTCTTTTATTTTTAGAGACATGGTTTTGCTAAGTTGCTAAGGCTGGCCTTGAACTTGTGATCCTCCTGCCTCAGCCCAGCAAGTTGCTGGGATTATACAGGTGTGCTCCACCATGCCTCGTTGCTCCTATGTTTCCTTCTAAGGATTTTATAGTTTTAATTCTTATATTTAGGTCTGATTCCCTTTAGGATAACTTTTATTTTATTTAGTGTGAGGTAGAGGTTCAGATTCATCCTTTTGTATATCGACATTCAGTTGTTCTAGCACCATCTGTTGAAAAAACTATTGTCATTAAAAAAATCAATTGGTTTTAGATGTTTGGGTTTCTTTCTGAACTTTGAATTCTATTTCACTGATCTATATGTCTGTGCTTGTGCCAGAATCACAGTTTTGATTACTGTAGCACTGTAGTGAGTTTTAAAACCATGAATTGTGAGTCTTCCAACTTCAACTTTTTTTTTTTTTTTCCATGGTTGTTCTGACTCTTCTGGGTCTTTTCCATAAGAATTTCAGAATCAGGGCTGGGACTGTGGCTCAGTGGTAGAGCACTCGCCTAGTATGCCAGAGGCACTGGGTTCATCCTCAGTAGTGTTTTCATTGAATTCCTTAGGATTTTCTATGTATAAGTTCAGCTTGTTCTATGAATAAAGGCAGTCTTACTTTTTAATTTTCAATATTTCTTTTTCTTTCCAAATTCCCTCAAAGTTCAATGGTGAATGAAGTTGGGAGGAAGTACATTTTTATCTTCTTCCTGATCTAAGTGCGAAAGGATTGAGTCTTTTTTTTAACTATTAAATATAATGTTAACTGTATCTTTTTTCATAGATGCTTTTATCAAGTTAAGGAAATTCCCTTTGCTAGTTGAGGGTTTTTATTCTAACCCTGTCAAAATGTTTTTACCAAAAAAAAAAAAAATCATCCATTGAGATGTTTTATGGTTTATTTTTTCTTTTGCTCAGAATCATATATTGCTAGCTCTCTACTGGGCAGGCCAGGAAGCACTGAAAGCTTATTAGCGGTGAGCATTACTGATGCTCAGACTGTGGTCTTTAAGTATTTCCCTCTAAAGGTGTGTGTGTGTGTGTGTGTGTGGGGTGTGTGTGTATGTATGAGTGTGTATAGTCCTGGGGATTGAACCCAGGACTGTCGACATGCTAGGCAAATGCTAAAGCACACTATAACACTGAGCTACATCTCCAGCCCCTAAGATTTCTTAAAGTCTATTTCAGGTTTGGGACAAGAAATGTGGAATATATTTTATGTATCAAGAAGCAAGGTAGCTATCTATTTAAAGTTGTATCAAGGATAGATTCCACCATGATTATCAAAAAGATAATTTTCAAATGCTGAGTATGTAAAAATTGAGCTCATACTAATAATAAATGCCATTTTATAAACTCATGCTTTACCTTTGGGGGTTGCTATGGAATAACATCTGAAAATTAGTAAGTTGAAGGGGTTTTTGTCTTTCAAATACATTATATTTCAAGATAAATGATTAAGGAAAGTTTTTCTTTATAGAGGTATTTCAGCCAATAAATGTAAACGAATGACCAAAACTTCCACTGAAATAATGTGTCTAAGCATCAATCATTAATATCTGTGAAAATCAGTAAGTCAGAGTTGATGGGGTACTTTATAATAGATACAGCTGGTAGCACCTGAACACACTGCTCAAGCTCAGTACCTCCTACGGGGACTGTCCAGATAACATGTTCTGATTGATGCAATGAGAGAATACCTATGAACTAGTTCTATAATTATTTTTTTTAAGAGAGAGAGAATTTTTATTTATTTATTTTTATTTTTTTTAACCTTTGAATAGCAAAACCTAGTTTATTTATTTATTTTTATTTTAAATTATTATTATTTTTGTTTTTTATTATTATCATATTTCATACATTTGATTCAAGCGGATTATGAACTCCCATTTTTACCCCGTATACATATTGCAGAATCACATTGGTTACACATCCACTTTTTTACATACTGCCATACTAGTGTATGTTGTATTCTGCTGCCTTTCCTATCTTATACTATCCCCCCTCCCAGAGAGAGAATTTTTAAATATTTATTTATTTAGTTAGTTAGTTTTTGGTGGACACAACATCTTTATTTTATTTTTATGTGATGCTGAGGATTGAACCCAGCGCCCTCTGTGTATGCCAGGTGAGCACGCTACCGCTTGAGCCACGTCCCCAGCCCCTTCTATAATTATTTAATTTGAATCTTTAATTTTTAAACAAATTTGAACATTTAAGATAAAAATATGGGTCTTCTTTTCCCCTTTTTTTGATGGTACTTGTAATTTAACCCAGAGCTTCACACATGCTAGGAAAGTGCTTGACCACTGAGCTACATCCCCAACTCTTCTTATTTTTAATTTTGACACAGGGTTTCTCTAAGTTGCCAAGGCTGATCTTGAACTTGTGATCCTTCTGCCTCAGCCTCCCAAGTCAACTGGGATTTACAGGTGTGCACCACCATGCCTGGCAGAAATACAGGTTTAACCATGTCTATTACATTGGGGATACACACATAAAACTATAATAGAGAATATAGAAAAATTGTCAAGAAGATAGGGTGGGGGCTGGGGATGTGGCTCAAGCGGTAGCGCGCCCGTCTAGCATGCACGCGGCCCGGGTTCGATCCTCGGCACCACATACAAGGATGTTGTGTCTGCCGAAAACTAAGAAATAAAATATTTTAAAAAAAAAATTCTCTCTCTCTCTCTCTCTCTCTCTCTCTCTCTCTCTCTCTCTC